TTGATTTGGAATTGAAACACTGTCAGGAAAGTATGTACAACTTCTGTATATTCCCGATAAATTCGTAGAAGATGGCTCTGCAGGTAAAAGCTGGAAGCATTTATTACTTCGACAAAAAAAGGGAAAAATCTTACCATGAAATATAGTGTTTATGGTCGGAGTAATGTCAATTTCATAAAGTAAATCGTGCGTTACTGCGTTGTAACATTTGACGATTGCTGATAATTGTAAAGAAGCCAATAAAGAGTTCCCATGAACCAGCATACACTGGATAATCAAAGGTTCAGCGGCTTTTGGATCGGTAAGCACACAGACTGCCGCTTTTTCCAAATTGTTGGGATTAAAAAGCACGATGTTGTCTCCACAGCCGCAAAACAGCATCGACGTCCATGCAACCATTTTGGTCACAGCCACTGTTCCATTTCCTACCGGCACTTGTCGTGGGTTGTTTGTATTCCATCCTCCCTCTGAAATCAAATAAGTTCCTTAATTACAGTCATTTAATTAAATATTTACTTTTTCGTCTTGATTTAGTGCAAACAATATTTGCCAGTTCGTTTTACTCAAATTCTACTTACTGCCGTCTCTTTCAAAAATGGCGATGTTGCCGTTCTCTTGGGACACAAACACTCGATGGTCCAAATAACTGAAAATAAAACAAATTAATAAGCAAATTAAAAATATCTTGTGGAAATTTGCGTAGGCGCTGTGTTTGTTCAAGTCCCATCGGAAATGGGAATAAAATTATCGTTTTTCTTGCTAAAGCTTATTAAATAAGGTCTGCTTTGTATTTTAGACGGGGGGAAAACCAAATAAGTATTATTAAAGAAATTCTTTGCTCCTGCAAGAGCAATTTTATCGAAAACGTTGTTAAGAACCCAACATATGGAAAATCAACAGATCGATAAGCCGGTATCTTTTCTAAAGCGGATTTATTATTTGTTTCTTCATTTATTCAGGACTTACACAATACATAGCACTGCAGAACCCAACTGGATTTTCAGCTTATGCTTCTTTAGACGGATATGGTCATTAGCATTTACAACGAAAATGGAACCATCATCATTTCCAATCCACATGGTGCACAATTTGTCTGGCTCATCGCTGCAGGTTTCTGCGCCTTTATGTTCATCTTCTGTAGGGTCGGGTTCGTCGCCTGAAGAGTCGCTGTCGAATTGAAATGCTCTTTGCTGTTGTAGTTTGTCTCTGTTCCTGATGGAACTACACGAAGAAGCTCTGTAGAATGATTACATAGAACTTTCCTAAACTGGACGATGTAGCGGGAGTTTACCTGCTGCAAAAGCTAGGGCCTGGGACTGAAGTGATGCAAGCTACTCGGTTCGCTCCAAATCCGTTGCAAGAGCTAATGTTTGGTTCGAGTTTTTCATTCAAAGTTATGTGGCAGATCTGGCCAGTTAAGGTATCGTTGCTGCCGACCCAAATGTCGCGTCCATCGCTCAAAGACGGGGCAACACAGGAGAATTGTAAGCCCGATCGAATTTTTCGAAAAGCGACTGTTGATACCAATTCTGGAGGCGGTCGCTTACCTAACAACAGATAATTAAAATAATCAGATTTAATGATCCATTTTGTGCGTCCCTTTCAACTCAAAGAACCCTGTAGTTTGTAACGCCGCGCTCTAATTCTATTAGAATCAAAATATCATTCGCCGCGTGATTTTCGGGGTTTTTGATGCCGAGAAATCCAATTTTGTTATTAATTAATATTTTGTTTGTCCAAGGGATGGGTTGAGAGCTTTGAGAAAGGGCGATAAATTTAATTGAATATAGTGTTATGATCTTAGGGTCGATGAATCTAATTTTGTTGGTGGCGCCCCAAAATTAACCTTAAGAAAATTGGGCTCCAAAAATTAAAAATCTGGCTCATATTGGGAAAACAACGTAGCAAACTTGTCAGGATCAGATCTTGTTTCCCGTTATAGATTATCCAATGTTAATTCAGGTTATTTAATACTTAATTGTTCTCAAGTGCACCTTTGTTTTTCTCTTCGCTCTGCGTACTCTAGAGACGAAAATTTTACATTTAAGGTCGGTGTTTTTCACTAAGTCGATTAGCTTCAGCCCAATAAACACACTCATTTCGATATTACGGCGTTTTGCTCCAGAATTGAATATGAGCAAGTAACGTTAAAAAAATAAACATTAGAATTGGAAATTCCTTTCGAAATTAGACATAAACTTTTTGTAATCTGGACATTTATGCTCTGCAAAGCTCAGCGTGGTAGCGATTCGATGTATTAAACCTAATTATCAACAATATTAAATCAGTTTAATAACATACTAAATAAATTTTATGGATTTCGCATGTTAGAAACTCACCAAGTTTTGTTTTACATTCGCTAATACAATATTCCCAAGAGAACCGAACTTCCGATTCCGGGAATATAATGGACACAATTTCCACGCCTTTTCTGAAATAAAAAATATTTAGTGAATCAAATCGAATGAATTTGCCTGATTGTTGCTGAGGTAATCATTTTTGGAAGCTAAAGCAATACTTATAAGCGTTCGACGACTACCTACAACCTTTTATTTTCATCCTAATTTTGAGGAAGTCGGCATTTATATAAATTGAAGTCTTTGGAATTTATTCTAGCGAAAATATCGTTGAAACTATACGTCGAGAAATATTTTGGCGGTTCCAATTTCCATTAATTGGCCACAAAAAATGGTTTCAGTTTTACTTACTGTGTTGAAACAGTGAAGTGTGACATGATTAGATCAGTTCGTTCTTGAGCTTTAAGCCCTTTATTTAAGTTAGTGACCATATCCTTAACCACGTCGTCTAAGCTAGAATGGTTGCAATTCAACTTCGCGCTCAACTCGTGGATGTCGTTGAGGAGATCAATGTCTTTGCTCATTTTCTGCGTTTCCAACTGCAACTCTTCGTAGTGCGAATTTCTTATCGGAATTATCTCTATATCGTCTAAAGGTATTTTCATCATTAGCTTATATTTGTATGGATCTGTATTAGTTGAGCTTCCACTCGAACTTGTCTTCTTCGGCGTGGTTTTTCTCTTTATGACCGTTATCAAGAGCAAATCTGTCAAGAGAAAAAACGCTCTTTCCTTTTTAACACCCCCTCCATAAGACATAACTACAATATCTTGTCTCATAAATTGTCTATCAAAGGAAACTAGCTCCAATGCCCCTTCAATGACACTTTCCAACTCTCTCAATTGATCTATTTCCACAGCCTCTTTTTCGGTACAATTTAATTTTAACAGTTGCTCATGGACTTCTTTTTCGGCCCTACATAGATAATCAAAGTCAGGATGATCTTCAGATGTGTGTTTTAACAGTCTCTGAAGTAGCAATTTTAACTTTGGAAATTTTTGTATGGGTTTTATTAGAAGTGAGTCGAGGGACAGTTTCATAGAGTTGCTCTTCATCGCAGTCTAAAAAATAAACACATTTTAAATGTTTAAATCGCTATAACGGAATAAAAATTCTGTTTCACCTCCAAAAATTTAGCAAAGTTAGGTCGAGCAGTTTGTGCTTGTTTTATAACCTCTCTGGATTTTTTCCAGTTATTCACATAATTCACGTAGGATTCAATTACAACCGGATCACTCAGCTGAAATTAGTTCGGGAATTTACTAATAAGACAATTAGTATTAATATGACTTACCAGTCGCATTAATAAATCTCCTATGTTTGCTCGATTCTCGCAATCTTCGTTAAGGCGAGTTTTAAGATTCTCCAAGAAAAGCTTATGTTGATCACGCAAATAGGGCACCTACAACATACCCACGTTGAAAGTCATGTGGCATACAGGGGACGTTAAATATTGATTTTTACCTGTGAAAACAGTTCTTCTACTAGAACGGGATCTATTAATGACCCGTCAGTCTTTTTAAGAGGCTCCCAAAATTGCTAAAAAAAGAACAAGTATTTTTCAGAATTAAAACTTCACTTTTCATGTTTTCTAACTGCGGACCTTGAATATATTTCAGGAAGCTGCAATAGTGCATAAAAAAGTGTTTTCCGAATATATGTGCAATCTAAATACTTAAAATGTTTTTGATATTAGACACCATTTTTGCTTAGTGCCGGGTGAAATACTAATCTGAATTGAGTTGAGGAGGCAACAATAGTATTTCCAGTTAAATGCTCAATTTGAATTTAGCAAGAAATTTAATAGATAGTGAGGGATGTCGGTGCCCTGACAATTACGAAACTGAATACATTTACTTCTATCGCTGTATAAGAACAGACATTCTCAGAAGTCCTCGCAATGTATAATATAAAGGCCTTAATTACATTTTTGCTCCCTAATATCGTTAGCAGTTATGTGTCATTCGAGTCAAATATCTCGAAAACCCACGAAATTGGTTACCAAGCTTTCTACTCAATTATAAAGTTCTATAATTGAAAAATTCAGACTGGGGCTTTCATTCAGGGTGAAAATAAGATTTAGGAACGACTTCTATTTGATTTCTTTTCCCAATGCAGGTGCAAGTCTTAAGCATGATTAAGGATTATGTCACAGTAGAAATATGATATCCGATAATATTCTATTTATTTTCCCAATGACTGGATTTTGATCAAGAATATTTTACCAAATCTATTGAAAAATCTTAAATAACAAAATTGTGGTTCGTGTACTCTATGATCTATACATCATATTATTTAGCTTTAGACGTTAAGAATAACATGCGAACTGTAAAGTTTGTTAAAGTATGCCGAGGAAAAGGCCCACACAAATTGGCAGTTTCGGAACTCCGCCTAATTAAAAAAAATGGTTCAAGCTTTAAACAGATAAATAACATAGGAGTTCCTCAATAATTCTTTGTAAATAATAAAATATTCCTTTTCAAAACTTTTGAAATTCCTCGAGAAAGCAGTATTAAAAAAACAGCGGGTAAAGTAGGAGCAAACACCACAGACCGGAAAGTTTCCAAAAGGGTAAAAAATTAATAAAGCTGCAAAGTAAACAAGGCCTAAAGAAATCACCGAATTTTAAGAAAAGTAAAAGCTTTGCGAAATTGCTTTGTTTCATAAATTTTGTTTCCACAATGGCTTAAAAGGATCAATGGGTCGGATGTTCCAACAATTTTGCAATCAAGCGAGCCTACTTTTAAAAGATTTAATATCTGTTTTTAGCCTTTTCGGCACGAAGGAAAATTTGCTATTTGCGATTTTTTAGCTCGCAGAATCTATGTTTTACGTGCAACACTTACCGAAATTAGAATTTGTAGTGATTCGACATAGATCTTCTCATTATCGAACAGTTCGATGATCACATGGGTCCTGGTATCCTAAAGAAAAACTATATATGCTTTTGTATCTTTATTGCATAGATCAATAATGAATTAGAATTATTTTGAAGAACTTAAACTGATGGTTGGGCCCAGACATTAGGGACGTAAGAGCGATTATCCCCAAATTCGACCAAAAATGATCGATTGTTGTGTGAAATATGGATGGTTCTTATAAATTCAAATTTTGAGTAAAATTCATCAGGTCCTTAAAATTCGGATGTAAGGAACTTTGATTATTTTACCTGTCAGCTCAGTATGCACGTGAAATATTTTTTATAAATTTTAAACTTTTTATATATTTGGTTTTCAAATAAACCTACAAAACAAGCAAACAATCATACAGAGCGTTGTCTGCATATTAGGCAATGTTTTCCGAGCGTTTTCCGTTTTTGGCGTCGTGGTCTATTCAACATTTTTGCTGACGTTTTGTCCACATCTGCACGGGTCCGCACGGGAGATCACTCCCCTCTTGCCACGTCGTCTTTGAAAATGTCTACCGCAGATGTGGCCGAAACGTCGAGCAGATATTCTTTCTTTATAACTTTATCTAACTAACTTTTCTGAATATAACTTGACTGGCAGTGAAAGCCTTCATAGCCTGACAGAGCTTTCTTTGTTTGATTATGCTTCGCCCCAAGTACTGGTCTCAATTAGTATCGGTTGCTGCTAATTGGCATTTTGTTCAGTACCCTTTTGCAGTGCAATTAAAAGAAATCCGGGATTCACATCTATTATAATTTAAAGAAACGGATTTGGCAACGAACTAAGAGTCTAGATTAGAGGATTCCAAATGGGCACTTTTTGTAAATACATCCGGGGGTCGAACGCTTGATTGCTAGCTCGTGTAGTAGAATTGAGATGATTGGTATTATAATTGTGGGTCGTTTTAACGCCTCTGATAATAAATAAATTCAGCGAAACTACACTTTGGGATTAGCATTTTATCGAAAAAAATAATAAAGCGCTTTAACAATAAAACCGATTAGTTCAATTTTAATGAACTGGCCTCTCGATACGTGTGTTTTCACTTGAACTTTAAAAATCTCCCCAGACCACCAAAACGATTAAACCGCCAAATTACCACAAATGTAGTAATAAATGAGCGATTCAGCAGACATCTGTATGGAACTGCATTCCGAAATGTAAAAAGTGAAATTAATGTTCGAGTTTTCGAGTGCATATGAGAGTAATAATTGAATTGATCAATCAGGTTTTTAAATTTCAAATATCGGCTTTCACAACTGGAGCTTTTGCCTAAAGGTTTTCGGTGGTATTTTTGCCTGACGTCCAATCAGAGCGGGGTGACTAAACCCGCGTCATCCATGGCAGCGCCTGCCGAAATTGCAAGCGAAACGTCAGGGCAAAAAACCCACAACTGTATATGTGAAACATGGAAACCAGAAATTTTTCATTGCAAAGCCGAACATCGTCTCAAGAGCAATTAAAAGCAATTATCTACGAAAGCTTTATAAAAGTGCAGTCATTTCTGATTTGAAATAATTTTTTGGATGCCAAGCAAAAAACTGGATTTGATCGTTTAAAAATGTTGCCAAAACATGCCAGGTTTGAAATTGAGCGAATCACAAAGAAGAGTTGTATGTCATTTGAGGTTATCTCTGGATAAACCAGGATACCACTAGGACTAAGCTACTTGTCTAATGCACGTGCTAAAGCAAACAATGAAATGAGAATTAAATTGATTTGAATTGAAATGGAACTAACCCAATGAGACATGAACCCTACACCTAGACGACAAAAAGACACCGAGACATCAAACACAACTTGCTGCAGTTACCAAGTTGGGGTGATGATTTGAGAAAGCCAAATCACGATTCAATGCAAGTGACATCTCTTCTTCTGATGGGAGGGACAGGTTACTTCTTGAACCCATCTGGAATAAAGTTACAAGTTGGGATTTGAACATGTCACAGAACGGCACACATAGTCGAAAGCCGCGTGTTTTTCCTGGATGCTAAACGACCACGCCTTGACTGGACCAGTTGGAAAATTCGACTAACACTCTCACTCTGCCGGCGGCCATCGCGACGTCCTTTCAAAATCGACGCACGTTGTTGCCGTTTTCCTGCCATTATTTGCCTAGATAAACCAACCATTCTCTGTTTTTCCATATAACAGTAGAAAATTTTCCTAAATGTATCGGACACTTTGACCTTTTATGGCAATCGATATCATTTAACAATTCTTAATTGACAATTGCTGTCAACTGAAAACACGCATTTCGTTAATAAAATCGTACAATGCTTGTAATTTACGAGCAATGGCCACTTTCGCTTCTGGAAAAATAGATTAGCGTCTTTCAATTTCCATGAGCTAATTATTCCATGTTCGTGTGATAAGATAAGCTTTGAGAATAATTAACAACTGCCTGAACTAGTTCTCATTGGCTTTGATGAAATATCGCACAATCCGACCCATTTTTTGTATGAAAAACACCTTAATTTCGTCTATAGTATGGGTCTCTAACATCAATATGAAATCAATTTGTTCCACAAAGCCACTATCCACCATTAAGTACCCAGAATCCACTTTGGTACTGATCAACTACCTTTATTTTCTATGGAGATTATCAAACTTGATGCTGGAAGTTGCATTCGAAGTAAAAACTCACCTACAACTTTGATTAAATCAATAAAGTGGTTAATGAACTCAAATTGCTGTTTCGAGGCAAACGAATGCGACTTTCACTGTATTACTGTCAGCATTTTCCCCGCTGATTTTTATTCAAACGTAAAAATATCATTCCTTTTCCCAATTTATACTGCTATTTGTCTGATTGACCTAAACTTGATGGAATCGATTCCAATTATTCAACACTCCTCCAAATCCAATCTGAGCCGCTCAAAGTTCAAAATGCCCATCAATTAGCCAATGAGAACCTAATGAAGCTAAAACCAGTCATTAGATACAAATGCTTTCTGCCTCCTGGCAACATCGGAAAAGCTGGATCGCTTTCCCCGTTGCCAGGCAACCTGTATCAAATGCCTATCGCGAATCCTCAGTTTTGCCAATTTTACAGCTCAACAAGCTTATCATTTTCCGCACACAGGGTGTTCAAAATATACCGCCCGCAATTTTTTCAAATCGACGCTCCCTTGCGCGTTAGCAAGATTAAACCATTATATACCTATTCTCTCTTGTTATTCAAATTCAGGCCTTTGCCGTCATCCCTCTAAAACCCAGAATAGAGGGAGGAGGTTATGCCTAATCAAAGTCAACCAACTAGGTAACGTTTGCGTTAAACTTTCTCTCAACGGCACAATAGCAATTAAAGTCCCCCGAACACAAACTAACAATCTCAAAACTCAACCACCCTTGTTGCCTGTTTGTTCACTGATATGTATACGTTTAAACAATTTAGGTTCCAAGTTTTAATTAATAGGCAAAAGGCTTTTAAACGCTAATAGACGGGAAATTTCAAACTGCGTGTATTTTGATATAAATGCTCAAATTGATAAACTTTCGCTCAAAACCCATCCGGAGAAGTTATAGGCTCAAGAGGCGGCACATCAAGAAACCGAACAATTAAATCACTCAACATGCAACAAACGAAACTTTTTTATTTAATAATAAATTGAAATCGGAAATTATGTTGCGCCTATATGGCTTTGTTGGGTCCGAAGTAAAATAATACAAATCCTTTGGGAGGAAATGAAAGAAATAAGAACTGGCTAAATGGTCAGCTAGAGAAGTCTTAATTGAAAAAACAAACGGGAAAGGAAAACGGTTAATTATTTTTTGTGACGTAGGTGTCAGAAAACCTGTTATTCTACAAATACTCCCACGGACGCAATAAAGGAACACTAATTCTGCTGTTTTATGGATCATATTTTTTCATCTCAGAAGTCACCTGAAAAAATATATATGTATGTCATTACGAACAAAAGGAAACCTGCACTAGTCGCCTTAAGTGGACACAATACGGCGACGAAAAGGACACAGCAGTGTTTCCCTAGAAAATCTGTCCTCTTGAAGGGAAACATTTTTTACTTGTCAAATTTACTAAATGAAAACGGATATTTTGACACTATTTTGAATACCACCATATCTTGCCTGGAAATAATAACGTACTTCTCGTGAAAAGTGTTTCGGAAAAAGTTTCGTAATCATATTGAATCCGCTAGAATTTTAAGGGTTCTACAATTCAGATAAAGAACAGTAATTATTTTGGCAATTATCGGTAATTGCCAGTGAAATCGTGACCATTCATGTCTGTTCCCTTAATTTGTTTGGAAGTTGATTGTCTGTTATTGATTTTTAGTGCCGAAAGTCTCATTATCTCTCAGCATTAAAAGACAATGCGACCTTTCCTGCCATAAATACTCCAATCGAGCCCAGCTGAAAATTTAGAATTGTTTTTTTCCGAGCGGCCACTTTATTGCAAGATTTTCCTTCCAGAAACAACTTGTTGGACATCCACTTTGGCCTCTTTGAAACGATTTACGTGAATCCGTCATTAGCTTTCTAAGTAAGAATAGAACCCGAGCCCTTAGAGCAGCGCACAAGTGGGAGCCAGCAATAATCTCCTGGCAATTATACTTTTGCAAGACATCTGTATATTAAGAAAATCTGTTTGTTGTCAAAAATAGAGTCTGCCGTGCGAAAATCTTGACGATGACGTCACATCTAGAAAAACATTGACGTGATTAAGATAAAAAAATCTATTAAAAGAGAAGTCCGTCTAAGAGTTGACGGAATTCGCTTCAACTCGGACGCCGTCTAATGTGCTTGCTGGAACTGGAAATGTTATTGGGTGAACGCAGCTTAGAGAAGACAGAGCGAATTAAAACGAAACTAAAGCTGGATAAAGTAACTGGATGACAAAAAGTCAATTTTGGGCAAAAAATTTAAACTGAGATAAAAAATTACAAATGCAAACTCATAAAAAAATACCAATTTAGACGCGGATTTACAAAATGACTACTCTCATAGTTTTAAATTGGGTGATAGACATTTTAAAAATAGACAGGATTACCGCCAGCCTGAGCCTGGTATTTTCGATCTTGGCTAAAGAAAATAAATATTTTTTTATTTCAGCTGACTTTCAGATTTTGTTTTATTTTATATTTGCACCTACCAGAAATAGATATTTGTAAACAGAAAAGAAGTTTTCAGACTCGCTCGCGGAGAAAATTGCCAATTAATAAAGTATCATTTGATATTTCACTGCTTTCTATTTTATAGTCGTTCATGTCCCAATTGCCCAAGCAATGATAATTATTGATATTAGCAACTGAACAAAGTAGCAGTCTCAAAATGGTCTTGCCTATATCTATATTAGAAACTTAACCCAGTTTTTGCAGTATTCAAATATGCACATACTGACTTCAGTTATGATTAAATCACAAGTAGGTGAATCCTCGCGCCTTTTCATTAATCAATCGCCTATTAATTAATAAACGTTCGCTTACATTTGGAATTTGCGGTCCTGGTTCTTTGGATTCAAGACGCTCAGAGCTGCCTCTCAAAAGTTGCTCCAGGAGTTCACTGGACACTTCGGGAGTTTGACTGAAACCCTCCAACTTTGAAGGGCTTGAAGTTGTGCGCTGGTGGTTCGGTAGTAAAGTATGTTTTGTCACTGGCTCGACCATTAAATTATCAGCGCTAACTTTTCGTTTAGTCACCGGGAGACTTTTAGCCTCTTTCAGGTAGGTTTCGTCGATGGAGCTATTGCATCCTCGAGAACGACTGTGTTTGTTTCGGCTGGTGCTACTCGACGAAAGATCTTCCAGAAATTTCAAGTCACTGCTTATATTCTTCCGTGACTCCGGCTTCTTCATCTCTGCTTCCAACATTTGACCGTACGGTCCTCTTAAAGGCCTTTTTGAGTATCTGCGGGGGATGCTGGAACTCGAGGGGTCAGTGCTTGCACTCAATCTGCTCTCGCAGTCTGAAACATCTGAAGGTACCAAACTTAATTGGTCGAATCTTCGTTCTGTGCTTTCCGGTTCGCCCTCGGATAGAGAGTCGGACCTCAACAAGCTATTGCTTCGAGAAAGAGCAACTTTCAGTGAGTCTTTCTGATCAGGAGATTGGCACGATTGTCTGTTGTTGTTGTTGTTGAGAGTGTTACTGTAGTGGCTGTTCGAAGTTAGCCACTCTAATGAAGTCCCAGTATCGTGGGGGCTATCTGGTTCTTCTTGAAGGCTACTGCCTATTATCGACGATTCTTGATTGCTGTTGGTTTCTTCGCATGTGCCCACAATGTCTTCTGCCTCGTACTTGGGCAGAATACTGCCTACGTCGTTCGAGTAATATTCTGCAGGCCACTGTGATAGGTAGATGCCTTCCCTCTTTCTCGAGTTGTCACGGCGACGGTCTTGGATGCTGCTGCTGCCCACAGAGTCCTGCGGTGGTCGCACTAGAGTTTTCTCTGGCGATTCCGATATAATCTGAACCTCTGGAATGTCCTTGGAAGGTGCCAAGCGCGAGAACTGTTCCAAATGCTCCACTACGGGCGAAGTCGAAGTGAACGCATCTTGCTTGCCCTTCGGCAGGTTCTTAGGTCGAGGCAACGTGTTGTGCGAGGTGTCGGTTGAGTCCTGGTGGTTGTTGCGACGCACGTACTTATTATCATCCGGACAATAATCCACTTGCGAAAAAGAGGCACTGCGCAACGGTAGAGGAGCCCTTTGTGCCAGAAGTGGCGGTTCGGGAGGCGGCGGAGTGGCACGCGTATGCCGTCGAGGTGGCGGTACGGGCGCAAAGGCGGCACTGCGTTTTAATCGTTCCGTTAACTCCCGAAATTTGTCGCTCCCTCGCTTTTCTGCGCGGTTTCCGCCGAAGCGGAACCTGGGCAATCGGTCCAGGGTTGCGATCTCGTCTTTGGGTTCTGCGTCGACGAGGCGCGAATACACAAGGGCGCACCGTTTGTTCAACAAACATCCGCCCGGGTACAGAACATGGTCTCGTACTGTCTGCGTCTGCTCTGACGTTGCAGCGTCCTCCGATCTGTTTGCACAACTAATTATATCCAGACTATTAATAGGAGAAGCCGCGACGGGAAGCAGGGGGATCCTGGACGTCGTATCATGAGGGGCTGCCGGCCAGCAGCACGTTCGGGATCGGTACCGCGGACCTGCGCCTGGGGGCGGCGGACTTACCGCCCCCACGCGCATACCGTAACGCACCGGCCCGATTGTCATAAATCTGCAAAACAAAAACACTGTTATTAACAATTTCATACCAACATCGCTCTAAATAAAAAAACAAGCCAAGGGAAGGCGAGGCAGATGGGCCATTGAACGTTC